CATTAATTTTTATCCAAGAGTGGTTGTATTAAAAATTTAAATTGTTCACTTAATTTTGATATTAATATTAAATACTTAAATTTAAATAATGAATATAAACTACAAATTTAATATACATATATTATTTATTATAAAGTTTTTTTTATTTCATTAAATATGACCGTATTTAAAAAGACTTTTAATACATTTATATTTGAATCTAATTAATTAATCTAATTCTAATTAATTTTACTGTTTGATCTCTGATCTCGACGCCGAACAGATCTCCACTAAATGTTTCCCGCATCGACTCTAGTAAATTTGAAATGATGGGCCGCATCCTGAAGAAGCACATGAACGATATTATGGCGTACGTATTGCGTAATGTCCCACCAAATGGCAGAGCTGAAAGCCAACCAATTATACTATGCCCGTATTGTTGCCATTATATTGTTGTTAAACACGCCAAAAATTCGCAGAAATTACACGATAATTATAAATGTTCCTTATAATATTAAATATATTAAATAATTATCCAAACAACGGCTTTTATTGTTTAATAAATTATTTATACATATTTTTTTTAATTTTCCCGCTCTCCGTCTGCAATATAGTATATATTGCTCGTATCCATCTTGCCCTGTGCAGTGTGTAGTCCTGGCCTGGACCCAAAATGCCACTGTCTGGCTATCATCTGTTCTTGATGGAAAAACACAACGAACTGAAACGCTAGCCTGGCTGGCTGCACCGTACGGGCCTGGAGCACAATCAAATTTTTGCTGAGGAATGGCAGCAGCTTTCGAAGGAGCGCAAGGTTCCGTACATGGAAGCAGCAGCCAAGGGCAGAGCTGTGTAGGTTAAGTGACAAACCTTTTACAGTGCAAAAATTATTCTGTTTCCTTTCCTACTAATAGATACAAAAAGAAGATGTTCCGATTCTTCAAGAACAACCCAAAAGTTTTGGATAAAGAGTTGGCAAAGTTGAAGAAAGATACCAAAGAAAAGGCCACAGCAACTCCCACTATCCCAGGTTATCCGCTTGGATAACAGCTCTGCTGCTGTCCGTTGTAGTAGCCGGGAAGCGTCGTCAGGTGTAGTGCACGGTTTGTGCAGCCCTAGCTTTGCTATCGATACGAACACAATACTATCGATTGTTGTACGTCTAGGTCCAGTTTAGGTCCTTACCAATCCTTATCAGGAGCTATAGTTATAGTCTAGCCATAACTATCTCATCTCATGAGATCCATCTCAATTGCAATTTATATAAATCTAATTTATAAATTTATATCGATACTATTGTTTCGGCAACGATCCAGCCCTAGTTAAAGATCCGTTATAATATGTGTTGTGTGTGTGTGATGCGCTTAAACTAGCTTAAACGCTGAAACTAACTACGTACAACAACTACGTAACGTAACGTTAACTTAGTTAGTAAGTATCTAGTAACAGTAGTTACCTTACCTGCAGTTAAGTGGAGCAACAGACCGACATACGAGCATAGTTTCGTGTGTGTGTGTGTGCGTCTGCGGACGCGCGCCGAATCGGCTTAAACTCTCTCACTTAAACTCGCTAACTACGCACCGTGCAGTAACTACGTAACGTTAACTTAGTTAGTAACGATATAGTACCAGTAAATACCTTACCTGTAGCAACAGCCGGAGCATCCCATTTTGAGCATATAGTGTGTGTGTGTGGACGCGAGCAGTAGCAGCAGCGGTTTCTCTTCCAGGGACAGCAGAGACCAACAGCGGCAGGATACGGATAAGTCGCAAACCAGCGCCTTTGCCAAGCGGGATACCTTGCCAAGACTGCAGTGAATCTCTCCAGACTGGCCATTGAGGCAGCAGCGAGGCGCTATGCGGCGTCAGACTATGCGCAACATGGTGTTGGCTACTACACGATACCCTCGCTGGATGATCTCAAGTACTACCTGGCCGAGGTTGGGTCCTGTGTGGTGCCCAATTTAACCATTGGACGCGAGGGCTATGGCACTGTGTTCTTTGCCATGGAAATGGACGTGGCTGGACTGAATCTGGATGAGATTGGTAAGTGATTGGGGAGGAGCCAGGCCAGGCAAGCAGCATCCGCCAGGAACTATTCTCGCTCTCTCTGCAGTTTACTTCCGTAACAAGGATATCATCATTGGGAGGGAAAGCTGCGTCGCGCCTGCCACGAGAACGATACGCGCTTCGTCGAGTACCGCCCAGAGACGGGCATTTGGGTGTTTTGTGTGAAGCACTTCTCCAAGTACGGCCTTGACGAGGACGAGCGGCACAAAATGACGCTCCATTCGTTGCGGCCCAGCGTGTATCCGAGGATATCCGGCACAAGGTTCCGCGGCCGCATACGCTCTTCTTCTTCGCCAATTCGTCCTTTGGCAGGAAATTCGGCGCTAAGCCCTGGTTTGATCGAAATACTTACTACACGATTTCTACATTCACTCTACACTCAAATCCCCCAAAAGTATGCTACGCTATGCCTTATGCGGGAATATAGAAAATGTTTTTAAAATTAATATGTCGAAGTGGCGCACCTATGGTTCATTTAATTTTGAGTGGGGTGGTGTGGGGCACGCTGAGCTACGATACATATGTATGCATGTATGTAGCTGTGATCTGTAAGTTGATTGCTATTCGCCAGTCGGAAACGATCAATTTAAGTTGATAGCTCCACTCGTCCGCTATTGCTGCTATTTAATTATTAAAACCCTCCCCATGAACAGCCATTACAACAAACAGGAAAGAAAACCATCACCCAATGTAATTAAACATGGAAAACCAACGACAACAATTATAACAAACAACCGCGATATAAACAGCTGCGACAGTTTTCAACTTTTCTGCATTACCGAAAGGATAGCACAGGACATTCATACATACATATGTATTTATGTATGTATATAGGAAGGAATATTTACTTGTATACCCGCTTTTACACAGGCCGCTCCATGTTTCCCCTCAGCCCAACCCTAACCAGAGAACCACAAAATGCGTGTTTATTAATTAAGCGCATTTGTTTCCATTAAACAAACGTTTTAATTGAGCATGAAAGTTGGCGCCACCAAAATAAACGCGACAAGGGCCATAGACGAGGCCATAAAAACGAATTCAACCCTTTAACCCTTCCACCCATCCTTCCCACCTGACACTCAGCCAAAAAACATACACAACAATTAATTTTGCTTTATTTTAATGGATATACTTCGGCAGACATAACGAAAATCTGCGGAAATCCCAAAGCGTTTGCTCAGTGATTGATGAAAGTCTGCTGGAAGATGGTGGGTTCCCTAAGAGATGAAATACTCGTAAGAGGGCTTTGGATTCTCCGATTTAAGGTGAAGTAAAAGCGAATTTCATATACATACATTTGTATAAAGCAAAATTGATAATGATATTTTTGAACTTACAAACTTTAATGTGACAAAAGGATTTCGTTTTCTTAAACTGTAACAATATTCCCGGCTAATCTGCTGTATCGTAATATCGTCGTACAGCGTACATACGAGTGTATCAACCCCTAAAACAGTACATATGTATCTAGATACTTAAGATCTTCAATGTGTTCATTCGTCTTAAGACACACCACACCGCCTTTTCCCAACGAGTCCATTGGGTACAATTAAAATTCGGCCTCCAAATTATTATTATTGCTTATGAAAAACACTTTTCCCTCAACAAAAAAAACAAACATAACATCGCCCTGGCCATCGCCCATCCTGTGTGAAAGCTTGGCCAAAAACTTTTTGGCCAAGACATCAACTCGTTGGGATGGGTTCGCTTCAAAAGCACTTTATACGCCAGCCACACGCTGATAGATATATGGATGTGTATGGTATATACATATGTATGTACATCTGTACATAAATACATATCTTAAAAATTCCCCCTTTCTGCTGTTCCTCATATTGTCTGTAGGATTATTTTTCATAAACTTGGCAAATGCTGGGGTAAATCCATTTAGGGAGCAGCCGCATTACTTTATCTCTATAAAACATCAGAATTATGATTTGTGTTTTAGTGTGGATTGAGCTGGTCTAATGCTGGCTGAGGGAAATATGGCGCATCTATCGAGCTGTGAATTATGCCAAGTCAAAGAACTTGTAATAGTTGGCAACGTTTCGTAGACCTCAAGCGCCAAAGTGGCAATGAAAGCCATTTGATAATGATATATGTATGTACTATGTATGTGGGTTAATGGATAAGAGATGTAAAGAGAAGGCCAAGGTGTTTATCTATGATTAATTGGCAGAGGACCTCTTTGAATTTTAATAGATTATTCTATGGTACTTCTATCTGTTCGTCATACTTAATTACTTAGGTTGTATTTTATATATTTATTGTTTTCTATCATTGGCATTACCACAATTTTACTCGTAGTTGGATTATATTGAACAAAAAATCATCAAATGATTATCTCGAAAATCACTACGTAGCCGACCTGCTATACCAATCGCCAACTCCTTTTTCTGCACAGACAGATTTCCGATGGGGATCTAAGGACCCCGATCTCATTTCAGTTTTCCAAAACTCTTCCACTCCCTATCAACTGAAGACATGCTATATCAAAACTTTGGCTCTTCCGACTCGCTTTGGCACGGGAATGCATTGAGCCATTCCTTCAATGCTCGTAAGTTATTTTGATTTCTTATACTGGGTACTTCAACTGTTGTTTTAGTCAGTTTACGCTCTCATTTCTGTCAAGCTATAACAAATGAATTAAACCCAATGCTACAGCTTGAAGTTATATACTCGTAGATTCGATAGACTTGGTGTACCCTATTGATACAAGCTAGAAATCTATGCACTATACTTATAATGTGAGGTTTCTTCACTGTTTACCAAGATTGAAAATTTGCGCCCGGGGCAAGGTTGTAAAACGGTTGAATTGATACAGCATGTAGTAAATATTCATTATAAGTGTCGAATTGTTGTATCTAAAAGGTCAAGTCAAGGTAATTGCCCAGAAAACTTCATTAGTTTCGCTTACATGCAAACTGATGAAAGCCCATGGTCGCATACAATTCCTACAGTTGGAAAGAGGCAATGCTACAAAACAAAGCTACCAAACGATGCAAGAACAGTTCGCTTAGTTTCATATTGTTGGTTATCCTGGCCATGTTTGCATCTAATGGGGTTTATGCTCCACAGCCAGGACCCTGTCGACAGCTGAAGCACACAGTAGAATACGTTAGTTGGAAAAAATATACAAATACGATCTTCATATGTATAATGTACTATATATTCACGCAGAGCTCCTACAAGGGCACTATGGTGCATCGTTCCATGTACCTGGATGTGTTTGCTGAGCAGGATGCCAATAAACCCCCTACCCCAGTCAATTTCTGCTTAGCTGTAGCCTGGCCGCCCAAGAATGTGAAGCTTCCGTATATTATATTGGGCACGGACCACAAGCAGTACGTGGTCATCTACATATGCAACTATTCGAAAGCTACGAAGTCCCATGTGGGTGAGTTTGCGCATGAAAACTATTCCCAGCTCGGCTTGAACTGTTCCTTTGCCCGCGAAGAGCTGATCAACACGTACACGGCGGAGAAGAAGCCGAGCAAGGAGGCTCTAGCTGGCATCTCCGAGGCTCTCACCAAGAACGGCGTGAACGAGACCCTCCAACTGATGTTGTGTGACTACTGAGCATTTATGGAATCAGGAGGAGTCCTGGCCGTGTCCATGGCTATATCTAGGCAAAACTAATTCAATTTTGTTGAGCTCTTCACTAGCAATGGCAAAGTAAAAGTCAAAAATATGCGCACGACGAATTTTTTAACGTTTTTTATTAGAGATTTTTTCCTCTGTTTGCTGCTGTACAAATTCAATTTGCGCCAATATTTAGGGAGGGGTTTTTTTTGCCGGATTCGAAACCCTCCCTTCTCTCACCTTACCACGGTTTCTTTCTCTCAGCTTGTAGTGGCGGAAAATGTCATAAAAATATGCGACATTTCGTTTTTATCGCTTTTGAAAAACTTTATTCTTGGCTCTTTTGTGTTCAATTCCTCCTTGTTCTCTCAATTTGGTACTTCTTTGATTTCCTTTCATTTTTTATATTTTTTTATATTTTTTATTTTATTTACAATGGCAATTTTCTTTGTTTTAAACAAGCAGCGCATTGCTTTTTATTTGTGTAGGTTGATTGGTGATTGCAAAGCGCCCGATTGGCTGCGATTTGTGTACAGTTTGCGGGGGAATGGAATGCGTCGCACAGTGGAGAAAGAGACTGTGGAGTTGAATGGTTGACGAAGGAAAGTATTGGATCTGGTATAACCATATGTAATTTATTTCATTAAAATTAAGGGACTATCATGGGATATATCTAGAAATATTAAGGAATCAGTAGATTGAAGCAATGAGGATACCAAAATGTATATTAAAATGGTTGTAGGATAAATATTAACAACATTTGATATAGTCCGTATACAACTAATCCAGCTTTTGACAAGATAGCAGAAGCTTCGATCCACTGTACCTGAACCATCGACCAGGCCCACCAACACCATCTTAGTATCATCAACAACATGGCTTTTCCCACACCAGCGACATCGAAATGGTTGGCTTCCCATTTTGAAGGGGAAAACATCTTTTCCGCGTCGCCATAAAATGCAAGTGGTCAAGTATGGCAGCTCAGGAGAGGGAAAGCAAGCGCCAAAGAGGAAATCACAAAATGAAAAACGAAGGAAAACAATTAAATGGCAAGAAGCAGCAGCAGTCTACAGAAGAAAAACAAGCAAATAAACTTGGAAGCTGGATGTTGTCGGGAGAGGGAAGGAGTAGAGTGTACAGAAAAGTGTGGTGGAAGTGGGGGAAGAGATGAGGGTGGGGCTGAAGGGGAACCGGCAAACCGAAAAGCGAAATGCTGCATTTGTGACACGTCGAAAAGCGTCAGCGACAAAGGCAACTCAGTTTAATTGAAATCAAGAGGATCGGGGCGGGGGCAGTGGATGGGATATTGGGGATAAATGGAAAGGGAATAACGAAAAGTGTGGGGTTGAAGCATGGGAGAGCTTGGGGTAAGATTGCCAAGGGGGGTTTGCAAATCAAATTGAAACGCCGAAACGTATTCGAAAATCGACAGCAAACGTAATTGAAATTGCATGAGCAACAATGTGCAATGGTCAGAGGAGAGAAGTAGAGAGGAGAATTCAAGGAGGAGTCACTGGCAATTGGGGGAGGGCCAGGAAGTGGACAGATCCACATCAGTCCTTGCCTGCATGCTTTACACGTAAATTGGCAGCTCTGCGGAACGCGGTTTAATGATGTTGGAATTTAAAATATAAATAATCTTGAGGAACATCAAACGTTTTCGTCAGAGGAAACTTTTCTTGTACAAAGTTCGCATACCCAATGGATTTTTGTACAATGTTGCGATGCTCTGCCCACTACCCCGATCGAAAATTTATTGAGTCATGTTTAAGAAATGAGACTCCTGCAGCTGCCAGTGCTCCAAGCTGATTAACAGTTGGCATAACTTTTCTTTAATTACTGCGTCAGAAAAGCATTCTGCAGATAAATTTACATTCTTTGATTCATTAGAAGACTAGCACTTGGCATCAGGCAAAGATTTTGGAAGCAATTTGCAAATTGTTTTGTGAGCACAAATACAAAAAGAGCAAAAATACACGACCAGATAAGAGGGTGGAAGCGTGAAGCAAAGGAGATAGAAAAGTGTCAGCAGAATAAATGCTGACAATAAATAAAAATGGAAAATGATTGAAACATGTGTCGGGCATTTTCGATTTTTTGATATGCCATGCACGTCCTTTATCTCCCTTGCTTCAGCTTCGCCCTCCCTGTCTCCCTGTCTCCTTTTCTCTTTCACTCTTTCGCTTGCGAATAGCCTGAAAATGTAAACAAATAGGAAAGCAATCAAAGGCGACATTTTCTAACCTGACGTGAGAGCGTGTAGTATGCAATAAAACATATGACAAGTCTGTCTTGGCGGTGGAGTATAGTAGAGCATTTATGATACAATATGACGTAGAATAATAATTGAAAGACGAAAAAGAAGCTTCGAATAAGATAAGAAAAATATATGGATAATCTTTATATCCGAATCCCTTGTGGATTTAAAATTAAATAATCAATCCGTTAAAACACCGATTCGCTAACAATGACGTTCCTTCCCTACACTGCCACCAAGTCATCTCCCTATCAATATCAATAACCCATATCGATGTCAGTGAATGACAAGCCCAACTAATACCATATTGATTGCATGACCAATAAAACGATAGCCACCCCAAAACACCCACGGCATTTGCACCACATAACTCGGCATCAGGCGGCACATCCTGTTGAAGTATAAAAGGGTTTATGGCTTGTTTGCAAAAAACAAAACGTAAGATAAATAAAAAAATAATAACGCAAAAAAGGAAGTGAAACAAAATCCCGAACAAACATTAATTTGTAACGCACGTTTGGCCAATTTCGGGTTTACAATTCTGACCAAAAAATGTACCCAAGTGACCGCATAACGAGCCGAAATCAATTTGCCACGTTGATAAGCAACCCTCGACCGATGATAACCCTTTTTTCTGTGCCACCTTTGGCCCATTGGGTCGTTGCTGTCATAGCCGGGGATTTATAGATATTAAATTAGACCTGATTCTAACACGCGCACGTATCTTTGACATACATCAACCCGACTTAACTTTGCAACAAAAAAAAACCAATCTCAAATAATGCAAATTGTGTGCCAAATGTTGAGACTTCTTTTGCTGACCAATACGGGACAGAAAAAGCTGCATATATACGAGTATTTTTCAATGCGGTCTCACATGTGTCCCAGCTGGGGCTTTCTCCGGCATCGTCTTCTGCAGTCGCCCCAGTTCTATTTTCAAAACGAATTATAATCATAATAATAATAATAACAGTAAGCAAATATGACAGGATATTTAGAATAGGTGTGAAATGAAAATTGTGTTGTATATGTATACACAGATTGGTCAGCAGTTGGATTATGGTTGGGGGAGTCGCAGCTGTTTTGTGGCCAATGGAAAATTCAAATTTAGAAACGGATTACTGACCAAGTGTTGTTAGGGGTTTCTTGAGAAGTGGGTCTTGCTTGGTAAGGCATTGATTTGAGGTTTCTGAGTTTTTTTAATTCGGCAAGTTTGGTTTCCTTAGATATATGTATGTACATACATACAATGAGTATACTGGAAGATTGACTTTAATTTAAGCTTTTCAGACTAGCATCATTAAGGTCAAGCTTCTCTTAGCTTCCTCAAACTTTGAAATACTTGTTTCTGGAATTAAGTTTTGTCTTTAAGAAGAATTATTACTATCATTGTTTTCTATGGACGTCTTCGGACAATAAAGTCATAAATACCTGGGACGACCAAGACCCAAACTTATTCCTCCGTTTCCAGTTTAATGAACTGTGAGAGTATTCGATACCCCACCTGACCCGCTGCCTATAAACCCCAAGCCATGACTTTAGCTATGGCTATTTACTGTCCAGTTGGTCTCAGTTCAGTTCAGTTCAGGTTTTAGGGCCCACATGTGAAAAAAAATAAAAATCTCACAAATTATTTATTAATTACCCGACTGGGTCTCAGTTGATTTGAGTTTTCAAAGAAACTAAGAGAGCAAGGTATGGGCCAGAATACAGCATTCTCAATTCTCTGCTTATCGCTATTGTAAATTGTAATTTCCCTCTCGCCTTTTTCTCCGTTTTTCATTTTCGTTTTTATTTGTAGTTTTTTTGGCACAATAAAACAATAAATCAATCACAGTTAGGGTTTGTGTTGTGTTGTTTTGTTTTGTTATCTTTGACCAAGTTTTTAGTGGAATGTGAATCTTTTCGGTTCGGGCTCACATATTTCGATGATTTGAGTTTACACGCAGAGAAAATGGATAGCTGGAACTTATTAAAAATTATGAAATAATATAAATAGCACGAAATAATTAGTAATGAATTCATTTTATATTTTAATAAAAAAAAAACTAAAAAAATAAAACACAAATTTAATAAATATCTAGAAAAATTTGATAAATAATTTAAATTATTAGATACATGAAAATTATATTTTGTATATCTTTCTAAATTTAATTTAAATTTTTTGAACCTAGCACTTTTTCCAGTGCACAGTTTATGTTTTAAAACTTTTTTTTTTTTAAATTTTTTCTGTTGAGATCTGTTAAGTGCGATAAAAGAAAAGACTGTGACATGTTTTCTGTCTTGCTTATGTATATTTATATTGAATTGTTTAGATCAAAGTCAAAGATGCGGGATGGCTGTGAGCCTATGGGTGGAAGCGTGGCGAGTGAGGGGGCACGTATGCTATTTAGTAGATTTAAGGTTTTAGTAGTCAACATTTTTATGGCCCGGCAAAGTCAATTAAATGCCGAACACAGTCGAAAATCAACAAGCTATGGTGGAAAATGACCCTGCACGAACACTCACTCTCTCTCAGAGAAACTTAACTCCAACATGGCGGCCACACTCGCTATCCCTCTCTGACTTGTTCCGGGGGTGTGGCTTCGTGCTTCGTGCTCCGAGTTAACGCTCGCTCTTTTGCCTGAGTAAATTAAAATTTTCTGTAGTTTATTATTAAATGAAGCGCAGTTTTGTATCTGTATGTGGAGCGCCCGTCTGAATGCCTGTGTGTGACGGCAGCAGCAGGAGGAGCGTTTTTATACAGATAAACATAAATATAAGCCGTTGGCCGTCGGAGGCTAACAGTCCTCCCAATCCAATTCCCATTCTAGGACATCCATCCAGACAGGCACATAATGATATTAAAATGTTAATTGGCATATTAATTCAGTTGAGCGCTAAAAGAGTGGAAAAATGTTAGGGGAAATCTTCAATAAATAGGTAAATATTTATGAATACATACTAGTTTGTTGACAACACTGCTCTGAGGCTCTGAGGGTGTGGCTTTACTTAGGCTTAAATTAAATATTGATAATATTTAACAATTGAATACATACTTTATTTTTTATTGAATTTTGTACATATTATATCAATTTCTATCTTTATAACCTCTTCTTCTCCCCAGTTTCCCTTTTAAATTTCGTGCATTCATTCAGTACCAGCGCCATTTTTAATTATTTAAATGAATAAACCCAACAAAAAAGTAAGCTTGGCGGCGGCCCCCCCGGGCGCTCGTCTCAATATTTATAGCTTTTTAAACAAATAAACAGAATTCGCAGTCGACAAAAAGGCCACCCACAATCCCGGTCAGATTCAGAGCCCGACCCAAAACCAGAGCCATGAAAATGCACTCACAGCGCTCTTTCTCCCTCACACACGCACACACAAACAACGCGACAGAGAGAGAGAGAGAGAGGCAACCAGTACCAGGATCAGGTCCAGTCTCAGTCCCGTTTCAGTCCCAGGCTCCAATCCGAATCCGAAATAGTTGATTTTAATGATGTACATAATAAAATTCCTATTCGTTTTGTGCTGAAGAGAGCCAGGGAGAGAGAGCGGTTCGCTCCCCTGATTTACGAAGTGCCGTCTCTTTTGCTCCGACGCGTGTTGATGCTGCGAATGGAATTCGAGGGTTGGTTGCACGAGCTGAAGCTGGCTAAAACTGAAACTGAGATTGTGCGGCGGCCAAGTGAACTGGGACCATCGAGTCATTCCGATTTCCCAAGCCTAGGCAAGCGGTCACGCGCGCGTCGCACTCTGAAATATACGGCCAACCCAATACAAAGTCATATTACGCCAAAATCAGTTTACAGTAGAGTGGTGCATACGAGAATGTCGGTACAAATTTAAGCCAACGCAACGAAACCGCGAAAGTACAATTGATTTCCTTTGAAGTGTCTGTGCAAAACATTTGGATGGTTCAAATATTATAAACTAAAAATTGGATCGTACGAAAATAACAAAACAAAAAGTTTTTGACCGCTTAGGAACAAAGGAAGAAAAAAAGGAATTCTGCAAAGCTGTGTGAACCAATCTTAAGAAAGAATCCGTAAAATAAAGACTCTCTCCTATCAACCAGTTGATGCTTGAAAAAAATTAAAGTTTAAAAAATAAAACAACACCCTAGAAACTAGAACTTCGTCCAGCATCAAAAACATTCTTGAAATCTAAAAATATATAGAATAATATAGAGAGTCAAAATAATTAAATTGCGAATTTCGAATTTCGATCCCCCATACCAAAGCCAATAAAACCTTGAGTTGAAGGTCGTCAATACCCTTGCAAGGATCTCCACAGCCTTGCATTCCCAAAACTATTCGAGTGGACCGCGTGACTTCGTCTATCCCAAGCTGGGTAGTCCATTCCTTAACACAACGCCCGCGGGTGGCAGCACCAATCCCTCGCCCATACCCACTCTTACATCGGCTCCAGCGACGGCCACAGTGGCGGCCAAGCAGTTGGCTCAGACCTTCCAGCTTTCCGCTAACTCCGCCTTCAACCTTGCCCTGCCGCCGAGCTTTTACCGCCTACCAGGCAGCAGCAGCAGCAACCACACCGAGCCACAGGCTGTCACGCACACGGACTGCTCGGGCCTGGAGTACGGACACGGACACGAGCCGGAGATGGATCTGATCAATCCGTACATGCGGCACCACCATGCCATGGCCGCAGCGGATTACCAGCAGCAGCTGGCGGACTATCACAGTGCAGCGGCTGCGGCGGCGGTCTACGCCAACAACAACAACAACAACAGCAGCAATAGCAACAACCACAACCACAATAGCAGTCCCCTGATGCTTCTGAAGGCGGCGGCCCATGGCGGAGGCCTGAAGACCTCTTCCGCTGAAGATTCCCCTTCGACAACGCCGCCGCCTGCCTCCTCGCGCCTTCATTCGGAGTCGTCGCCCTCGCCACGCTACGAGCATAATTCCAGTCCAGGCGTGGACAGCGCCAAGTCCTTCGCACTCAGCGGCGGCGAGGAGCAGTGCCAGAACAGCGAGTCCGCCAGTCCCCCGCCGCCACTCGACTACAGCCCCGAGAACCTGACCAGTCGCGGCAAGTTCCAGCACCACCACTCGGTCAATCCGCTGGCGCTGCACAACCACAACCATACCCACAGTGGGCATCTCAACAACAACCACAGTGGACACCTCAACCACAACAACAACAACAACAATAACAGCATGAGCATGGAGCACAAGCTGCCCCTCAGCTTCCTGGGGCCTCCTCTGGCGGCCCTCCACTCGATGACCACGGAGATGAAGACTGCCCAGGGGGGGTCCGGAGTGGGTGCCAGCAGCGGTCCTTCCTCCGCGGGCAACGGCCTCTCTTATGGCCACAGTCCAAACGCCCATCTAATCAGCGATCGCGGATCGGGGGGCAGTTCTTCGTCGTCCTCCACCACGGCCAACACCACGAACAGCCAGGGAGCCCCCAATCCACATGGCATCGATACGATTCTGTCGAAACCACCGCCGGTCACATCGGCGGGTCTAAGTGCTTTAACAGGAGGTGAGTGTGAAGGATGCCGCTGATGGTATCTCCTTTAAGATGGAGATACAGATCAGGTATACTTTTAAGGGATACATAGTAAAAAATAAAGTAATTCGATTTTTAGGGATTCTTACGATAAAATGTAAGGAAATGGGACTATATGGGACATATTCTTATCGTAGAAATAAGATTTGGAATGTGAAAAATTATACTATGTACATTCTACAATCTATCGTTTATTCTTTGGATTTTTGAAGAGCTTGATGCCATTTTCCCGTACATTAACACTATGCTCTCTTTGCTGAGTAGTTTTCTTTTCAACTAAAATTCGATTTGCCCCTTATGAAACCCAATCTTGTATGTACAGCAAGATCCCCTCAGACCTTATTTCGGCTAACCAAATTATTGAGCAATATTTAAACATACATACATATATTACATATCATATGTACTTATGTATGTATGCTTCACCCACGACCACGAAAAAACAGTTAAATTAAATTATATATATTTTAAATGGTGCAAAAACGGGTTTCGCAAACTGTCGCAAACAAACCAATGAAAAAGAGCGCTAAAAATTTGTTTTGCGAATCCGGTTTGGCATGATTCCATGTGATTCAATAAAACGAAACCCAGGCCCCTGTCATTGCACATCTTTCCCTTACCAGCATACATAATCAGGGCAATTTTAGATATTGAGCACAGCAGTTTCTATGAAATCCGAAATGGTCATAATATCCAATTGCGAAATTGCCACAAAACGTAATGAGATACGCGTTTTAACTTAAATGTTGCAGCAATTAGTTGTCAAATTGTTTGTAATTAAATCAAAATGACACATGAAAAACGTGCTCCATAGCGGTGAATGGAAGGAGGGGTAGTGGGTATTCATGAGTGTGACGTTGTCGTTTCCATAAAATGATTTTTGGAATTTTCTTTTTCTTTTCTATGTGTTTCGGTTTCTGTCTCTGTTTCTGACCGATTTTTTGACAGTTAAATGTGGACCAATTGTGAGCCGTGACAGCGGAGGGCAGAAGACAGGGTGCTGACAATGTGCCATAACATTTTTAATTATTTTTAACGAGGGCGTTTATGTGATTTGATCCGTTCATTTCATTTTTTTTCCCTCCCATCGCCATTTAAATGTTTTCGGCCAGCGAACAAAATGCTTCTCATTCTTTTTATGACAAATTATTTAATGGCTTTTAATTAATCTGAACAAATTTTCCTATTGTAATGGCGAATGAGTGTAGCATGAGTGGGCAGAAACTTTGGGCAACCGAAAGAGAACGAGTCGAGCAGAAATCTGATCAACTGGAAACAATCTTTTTAGGGGATTAGTTAATGGGAGAGGTATTTGCTAGTGATTATATAACTGACGTTAAGTGAGGGAATCTTAAGCAGCACTCATTGCCAATCATAGTCAATTAATAAACACACAAATACAAATATATCTTATAAATGATAAGCTCATTTATCTCTCATTTATATGTACATCTATAGTCACCATAAAAACTCTCAATTTAAATTTGGTTATTGAAAACATGCATATGTGTAGATATTATTAGAATTGGGTTGAAAAGGAAATATAAATTATAAAACTCATCTAACGATTATTTCACCTTTGTTCCCTTACCATACAGCTGGCATACCCCGCTTCTCCATTGCGGCCGCTGCAGCGGGCATGGCCCAGTATCTATCGCAGAGTCAGGGAGCGCCGCTGAAGACTCATGCCGGACACATTGTGGACCGAACTCACCTTTACTGGCCGGGACTGCAGGGACTGGTGGCCAATCCGATAGCGTGGCGAGAGCGTCTATCCAATACGAGTGAGTACCAAAGAAAGCCTCAGACCCAAACACTAATTTGCAAAAATCAAATAAATCGATCGATCGATCGATCGATCGATCGGTAATCAGGCCAGACTGAATAGAGCGCGTAATTTGGTTACGATTGTCCGCGGACTGTCAACGGGCACACCCCTCAGCGGGTTCCGACTTCCTGTTGGGAGGGGAAACCGTTAACAAAGCGAAGCGAATGGCCCCCTAATGATCGTGGTGATCAGGCGAGAGCTTCTCAAGTGATTACCAATATGATTTACAGAGGCGGACAAGACGAGGCCGAGCTTACAGTTGCAGTTCTGCTCCAGGCCCAGCTACCATTGTCCAGCTCATTAATAAGTGTTGAGGAATCACTTTAACACGATCAGAGAGTTCAGAGAGCTCTCGCCATGACTCCACACAAAAGTCGATAATGATGATGATGATGGGATGGGATGGGAAGAGATGGGATGGTAAACTCGTATTCGTATATGGGATGGCTCGACATATGAAATATTAATTTACTGGCTCGCTTTCGATCTGGGCTCTGGTTTCTGATTTCTGATCTGGTTACTTCATTATTATATCTATTTATAGGAGCCATCTCTCTCTCTCTCTGAGACCCTAAGCTCATTAAGTAATGTGGCACCATCTCGAAACTCGTTTTCCTTTTTCCCAATTGTTTATTTGTTTAAAGTCTCTCGCTGCCGCTCCCGCATCGCATTGGCAATTGATTTGATTTAGTGCTATGGGCTACTGCGGCTGCTGCTGCTGCTGCTGTTTGGCTTTTAATTGCGCCCATGACTGGGCACAAATGTGTTGGCCCAAGTCGGAAATCGTTCACAATTTTCTTACATTGACCAGATCGCAGCTGGCGGAGAGGCAGAGATATGTGCGCTGTGCCTATGTTTGTCTTGTGTTTGATTTGATTTCTGAAGTGTGTCGTGTCGTTAGGTGTCGGGGAATTTTCAAGCTTTTGGTAGCTCTGTGGCCCACATTAACCAAATATTGATTTAATTGATTTGCTAAACAGTGCAGTAAGCTGGACTCGGATACACACTGGCGAGCGGTGGCGTCTCTAGCCAACTGACAGGACAACAGTCAGTTTGTTGAAAGCAAATTAGGGAGTCAGAAAGTGGAAGGCTTGCTTAATTGGAAAATGGTTAAATCTACTGACTAAGCCAGAGAATCCGTTTTCTTCCCTAAGTTCTTACCAATTTTAACTTCTATAAATAGCATCTTATGATTTTCATATATTTCATTGTGAATTGTAAGTGCACCCCGTATTTCCCTGAGGCTCCAGCATAGCAAAATCCCATACATTTGGTGACCCAAATGATTATTCTCGAGTACCTATGTACATCCAGCGATAAGTAACCCACCCTTTTGAATTTTAGCACCAATCGAACTGATAAACTGATAAATAGAACCAAAAACAATACAAGACACTATCAACGAATATGGCAACAAACGTAATCCTTTTCAATTGTAATCAAATAAATCAACAACAACAAATGCGCGACGAGCTTGCAAAAACGGAAAGCCAATAAATTGTCATTAATAAATTGCCAGGCAAATATTAATAATAATAATCACATCACAAGTGATAGCATTAAACAGGTGGGCTCGGGTGGTGGTGCAATCGAATCAAATGAAAAATTCCGGGCATAATCAAAGAGTAAATAATGCCAGTTAGAGAATATACCCAGCCCGAATAAGCTAATCAAATGCAATTTCATTATTAATAACAAATAAAGAGTGTTGAAAACAACAGGCACAAAAAACCAGAGCACTCTTTTTAGCGCACAAAACTACGGCCATGTTGCCATTGCCGTTACCGTTGCCGTTGGTGTGAGTGTGTTGTGCGCACACGCACACATTGCCAGCACTGGAAGCGCTCTCTTTAAGCCTTGTTAACATGACAGCCTACAAGCACATAGACACGCACACACACATTTATTTGAAGCCTGTCCCCATTTCAGGATAAAACAAAAAATAAAACACACCAACCCTGGGCCTGCTTCCGCTGCGTCTTCTTCGCCTACGTCTAGATAATAATGTGGCAACATATTCTCACAGCGTCTGGGTCTGCCCTTATCTCCCTATATACATTATTCTACTCGTTCATATACATGTACATACATATGTATGTATGGTAGAGCAACAGCCGAGCAAATCCATTCCGCTTTAACATTGCTTTCGGGCTAAAAAGTTGGGTTCTTCTTGTTCTGCCGTCTGGGCCAGCAGCTGTCGCATCTCTTTTACCATAAATATGTATGTTTATATTCGAGCAAAAATAAATAAATATATTCGAAAGTGAATGGACGATATTCATGTAAATAGCGGAAATATGAGAATGTTTTACGGCGGCTAAAGTTAACCGAAACAAAAATTATGTGGAAACAATGAGCAAGAGCAACTGACAATTGGAACATGTTTTTCAAATTCCATTTTATGGCTTGTTATTGTGGGTTGTGAGATTCAGAAATACAATATACAATATTGATTTTTCTGTTCTCACGGGTAAAGCAGAGAAGAATATCTTAGATGCTAGGCAGAGGACTTACGGTGTTGAGAAGTTGGTCTGGAATGTTGTCTAAGCAGAGATGGTGGTACACATCAGAAATGTAAATATTTGGATTGACCAAAAGTGATATTTGATTGAAATTGACAAACAAATATATATATATTATTTTGCATTAATTAATTAATTTAAATAAAATCTTTTTTAATGTTAGCCAAGTCCACTTTGCTTTACATGTATGTTTAGTCGACCCATAAACTCGTTTCCACCCCCTCCTTTGCTACGTGTATATAAATATATACACATGTGCATATGTACGAATATACGTACGTGTTTTAAAAAAGGAAAACCATACAAAAATAAAATAAAGCGAGACAACCACATTCTGCTAATGAAATAATTAACTTTAACATAAAAAGTAAATACAGAAAAGGGGAAAAAATCGAGCCATTAATTCAGAGAGCCGGCAACAGAAACCGCATCCAGCGTTTGACACAATTCATTAAGCTTAATGAAGACAGCGAGAGAGACAACACGAGCCTGTCTAGCTGTTGCGTTTAATTAAAATTCAAGTGGCATTTTGTGTGTCAGCCACTCTGGCATCTCCATCCCCCCATCCCCCCTTCCAAAATCCAAGCGAAACTTGTGCTTTAAGCATATAATCGGGCATAAAACAGGCCATAAAACAATGCACAGACAGAGAGGGCAACAGTGGCACTTAATGAGGCAGAGGAGGCCGAGGACCAACCAACCTACCTACCATCCTACCTGTGTGTATATAAAAAGATGCAGATTAGTCGCAGGCGAGTCCAGCCGAGCCGACTTGTGGCAGGGGCGTTTTGCTTTCGCACAGCCAGATTGTGATGAAGACTTTACAAGATTGTGGTATAACATGAGAGGGCATTGGTTGGGACTTGTTTGGAGTTGAGTTTGGGATTTGTTTGGATCTTTTATTTTACCTTCTTATTTTAGTTGTAAAGAGTTTCCCAGTAAAGTTTTTTAATCATTTTAAAACAGAAACCCTATTTTAATATTCACTTGCTCTCAAAAATCAATGCAGCCACTTCTCCATTATTCCCTTGGATAATCGCCTGTCTATCAACATTTGGTTTTAACCACTGTATCGCCGAAGGCCAGACACACTCCCCTCCCTCCCCTTTAGATCTTGCCCTACTCTCTGCCCCATCACACCCGATAATAAATGACTTTTTAATATTTTCAATAACGGAAACATTTACACAAAACAGCACACGCCCACCAGCCTCTGACGCCCTCCTAAAACAGAGGCGGAAAAATGTCCAAAAATATTAACGCCATAAAAAATTATTGCGAGTGAAAGAAAATGAAACGGAAAACGGAAAAAGTGGAAATGGAAGGAAAAAAAGGAGGATTTAGCTGGAGGCAGGAAAAAGTGCAAATGCAGCGATGCCAACAGGGTGACTTATGCGATTATAGACAACTGCCGCTGACTCGGTGGAAGAATGCTGAGGGCGGCAAGGGGGACGGAGTGAAGAGAAGAATTCCCCTCTGCCAGATCCATTTCATTGCAATGCGTTTGAGGGCCGTGACATGAGCAAATAAACGCTTCATATTTGTCGGTTATTTATGAGGGTCCTTTGCAGGACGCAGCTGCCAACCGCCAGGCTACCCGACAGCAGGGCACGAGACAGACAGAGAGAGTGAGAGAGAGAGAGAGAGAGAGAGAGTCAGAGGCAGCTATAGAGACTATAGAGAATACAAAAATTATCACTGCTACAATTTTTCTTGCCAGGGATTAAGCTTGTTACATTGTGGACCTCCCCAAGCCCGGGATGGTACTCCCCCTATGTTCCCCTTTATTGACAAGTCTTGTTAAGCTCCAGAATGGTCTGTGAAACAACAGAAACCATATAAATTGAATGCCACAAATTTGGAAGGGATTTTTCTTTCAATATTTCGAACATTGCAATCAAATGGGAGTATTCCAGATGGGATGCGAACAGAGTTGGCTGGTGATGACTAGTGATGAAAGCTGCGTGAAAAATGGCAACCCATTTTCACAGTATGCATTCAGTATAAAGTAAAAGCCGGGATACGGGTATGATCTGCAGAAAGTACTCCACAACTGTGATCGCATCAACGTTTTTATTGTATGAAAATCCAATTTTCTCTATCCCGACATAGACATGGCTCCCCCTCCCTTTCTACAGACCTTCAGTACTCACTTTAATTGCAATCCTTTTTTGTTCTATTTTGCGCCCATATTCCATGGCGTAACCCAAAAAAAGATATCCTTATCTGTATGAAAGCTGTTAGAAATAACCATTTAAATTAATAATTTTGCACAAATGGCACCAAAGTATCATAAAGGGACTCAAAGTTTCGACCCAAGCCGAGCACAGGAGGCAACGACCAAAAAAAGGAGTCCCATGCATGCCACCAGCCCAAGAACCACCCCCTCCACCCCTTGAGGGTAACGGCTGTCTGTGGCTTTACCTTTTACCAACCTCATTTCCCTTTTTCACGTTTGGCTCTGCCCCGTGCATATTTAGTTAAATCATTTCACATAATTAGGGATCATTTAATAATGGGGTGACATTAATTGAAAGGACACATACACAGACACAGACACCCTGGCAGCCCTGCCATAGGCGCACACCCACCACAACTTCACCCCCACCCCGCCCCAATCACCTTCCCATTCCCTTGGCTTCCGTTTTATTTTATGACCACCCACCGACCATGTCCACTTGACTGACTTTACGAGCCAACAGGGCACGTACATACCTTCCTCGTCCTTTCCCCAGCTTCATCTCCGACAGGGGCGTGGCTGCTGGGTGGGCGTTTTATTTTTGGACCACTTGGCCTGCTTTTATTGGCCTCTCGTCGTCGTCGTCGCTTTTGCTAATTGATTTTAATGAAGGCTCCGAGAGCCGACCCTCCGTCGACCATCAACGGAAAAAGTATTGGTCCCCATGCTGGCCTGTCCCATAAATTGCTGCGGTCAATTTCGGTTTGTTAATTGTGTAAACGTGTGCATAGGGATTTTTTGTACTTTTTGAATATATACGTATATTTTGTGACCAAATTGTAATTAGTGAGCAATTATTATTTGGCTGGGGACACATTTCGGCAGATAGAACATCGTTCCAGAGCTTTTACAATGTGGCCCAAATCTAAAAGATTCATCATTTCCTTCATCTTTTCATGTGCATGGAAACTATAGACGAATATTATTAAAAAAATGTACTTTTATTATTACATTAAAATTGAATATTGCCAAAAACAAAGCTTGTTAGCTACTTTTATTTGATGGACCACACACCACCCCCAAACACCTTTCTGCGGGTGATTCTCAGAAAGTTTACTCACAAATTAGCAGCTGTCGCCTCGTAAACAATTAATAAATGTCACAAAACTTTTCTGCCACAACACCGAAATCGTTTGCCATCCACCCCAGGATTCGCTTCCAACTTTGTCCTCTCTCTTATCTTTTGGGGCGAAATTGTTTAACAATTCATAATTAACATTTGGGGGGACAATAAATACTTGAGCTGGGAAATGCTTGTAAACAAGATACTCAAATGTTTGAGTTTTTAAGATCTGAAAAGTTTCTCGAGTAGTACAATAAATATGCATTTGAAGATTGAAAGTGTTTGTTTGTGAGGGAACGAAATAACTAAGCAACAAAATCGAAATGTCTTACTTGCAGTGTCCGCCAATCTATCGCAATCGCATCAGCATCATCCATCGAACGACAAAGATGGCAAGAAGAAACACACCCGCCCAACATTCAGTGGTCAGCAGATCTTTGCCCTGGAGAAGACATTCGAGCAAACGAAATATCTGGCTGGACCAGAGCGTGCCAAGCTCGCGTATGCGTTAGGAATGTCCGAATCGCAGGTTAAGGTAAGCACAGCCGACTCCCAACCGACTCAAACTCCCTGACTCGGACTGGGCCGAAACCCTTGCTGTATGCAAATTAAAAACCCATAAAAATGGCGGATGAGGCAAACAAAAAATAAAGCCCAAAGAAGGTAGACAAAAGTAAAGACAAACTCACATTTTTCGCCCTGCCTTCTCTGACAAATTTGCATTTTTATTGAAAGCTAAATCCCGTGGATTTTTTGGCCTTACGCCGAAGCACAAAATGGCGCCAATGGGTTTCGACGGGCGACACTGGGTCTAGTCCCCGTCCCAGTCCCAGTCCCAGTCAATGGGCCCCAAAGGACTTAGTGCATCACCCCATAATACACCATTTTAAAGTTGCCTTTTTCCACCCAACATCCAAAAAAAAGGAAGAAAACGTTATCAACAGATAAATCCTTTGTGTCGTCAAATTTGTTGTCATCAACTTTTGGTGTAATCCGCACCCATCGAAACGCACGTGTCATTGTCCATAGTCCGTGGTTTTGCCACCCGAGTCGCGTCATCCGGGGCGGATTTGTATGCCGCTACAGTATCTGTATCTACATTTTTGGTCTCCCCTTCTTGGGATTGTAATTTTGAATTAGTTGTAAGCCGGCGCAGGTTAATTGGTTTGCGGAGGGGTTTAAAATCGGTGGAAATCGGTGCGCGGAGCAAACGAGTTGGTGTTGGATGGGGAGCAACATTTGAAGGACTGAAAATGGTCGCCTGCAATCAAGGCGGTAGTATTTGATAAATATATACATCAAAGGTTATTGTAACTGTTAGTATTACGTTATATACTAACAGTTACAATAACAATTTAAATGCAAATACTAAGGAAATATTCCACATGGAAGGAGTCGCCTGCATTATAGCCTGATCAGATTCCCTTATTAGAATGACATGATTGCCTCGTTTGTGCGGCAGTTGCAACATCCCCTTTTCTTGCAACAACTCGGTATCTGGAGTTGAGAGTGGAAAAGAAATCACGTTTATGATGAGGGAAAATGATTAATTGCCAAAGAATGAGGCACAGGACGGACAGATAGAGAAGGAAAGAGTGGGAAAAGAGGAAGAGAGATAGAGATGGATAGATGAACATTCAGGATTGATGGCTTGAGCTGCAGCTAAATATGCGTCATTTTGTGCTAAGACTAAACAGATATCAGACAGAGACAGAGACGGAGATGGAGACAGAGATGGAAAGTGGGAAAGAGAACGCGCTGATGACGAGTACAAATGGACAGAGAGATGAATCGAAACTGCAGGATTGGGTTGAGTCTGACCCCCATCTGCTCTGGACGCGGTCCTAGACCTGTCCCTGCCTCTGTCTCTGTCCCTGGTCTCGTCTCGTCTCTCTGATAGACATGCCAAATGACTGCATGACTTTTGGGTGAGTGTAAATTAAATTCTGGACCCGGGATGGAACAGAGTGCAGATGGGACAGGGACAGGGACAAGGACAGGCCAACGACGAGGATGCCAGCTTCATACATATTCAATTAGTGTGCGTGCATGTGTGCCTCTGAGGGAGCCGTACAACAGAGCCAGATGAAAAACAGCCATGACGATGATAGTATGCAAATTGACAAACAAAAGGCAGAGCTGGACAACAGACAACAGCCGCCCACAGGCAGTCCCGCAGAAAAATTATGACAGACACACTCACGAACCCAAAATGCAAAGCAGGCAGGACACCCTGTATCTGTATCTGTATCCGTATGGTATGTGTGTGGGCTCTTGGTCAAATGATCTTGACAAGAATAATTGCGCTGTTATCATAATTAAAACCGTTTTTGGACACACACACAGGGACTCAAAGTCCTTTGGTCCTTCGTTTTAGCAATCATTTAATGCAAATGGTCGCCATTTTGTACGCTCTTATGAGAGGGAGACATCCGGCTCGTCCCGCACTCCTCTCCCCGGGTGAGTTATAGCGTCTGTGGCCATTATTAATGACGCTCCATGTGTGGGAAGAGACTCCAGATTCCCTGGCATAGTTAGCTCCATTCCCTGCAATAAAATTATTGCATGTTTTGTTGTTATAGCTTTTTCGTGATTTTTGCCCAGTCCCCCCAGTCCCCCCCGTTGTCGTTTTGCATAAATGTAATGGCATTATGGATCCTCTGATTGTATAGTCCATGTATGTAAACACTCTGGTTTGAATTGTTTTGCGAATGGTAGGTGGACAATGCGGATTGGTAGAGGGACGGGTGTGGAGGACTCCCTTTTGTTGTAATTTGCTAAAACCTAGGGATACATTTGGAGAATTAATTAAATGAGCTATTTAGTCTGGGCTTGTAGATATTTATTTATGCAGAGAAAGCTAAGAGATTCGAGGTAAATATAATAATCTGAGTACGTAAGAAACTCTGGTTTGGAAATTACTGAGCATTGAGGAAACTTTCCACGACCAAGGATCTAGTCCTGTGGGATGTTAGGTTTAATTTAAAATATTGGTTTACTAACTCGATTATTTCTTAATGGATTTCAATCCATCCAGAATATATACGGAGATCCCGCTTTTACCGAATTGTATCCCTCATTAATATTCATTTAAATGGCTCTTAAGATTTTCTAGAAATTATCCATTTTCGGCTACCATAAAATATCATTGGCAAAGTGCTATTTGTGATGGATGGAAACAAGATTTTATTATTGTTAAAATGTCTTTTTATGATCTGTTGGTTGTGAAGAGACGCAAAGCGCAGGCCGCATAATTAGCACCAGAATAATGAAAGCTTATAGACCAAATCCAATTCCAGGCGACTGTCAGAAGTGACAGTTTGGCAATTGACAATGGGCGATATCTGACGAAACCTGACAGGCCAACAAGCTGACAATGGGGCAGTTCATAAAACCTTATGACAGAAGTTTGAAATAGTGTCTAATTGATTTTTTTTCGGGATGAGAAAGAATTCCATTGTGTCTGGCTAATGGATGTGATTGTGTGTTAATGAATGGGTTGGGCCAGACATTTACATACTCCTTTCCCCTTTCTAGCATTCTCGTAGAAGAGACACATACGAAGCAGACTTATAGGGTCGCCATCATTGCTCAGCAATTAGTCAAATAACCAAAAAGTAAAACCAAATGCATTTTTATGGTCTGAACCCTGGGATGGCTTCAAGTTTATGGCTACAAAATACAAAATCAAATAAATCACAAACTCACATAAATACGGTGAGAGCCCGTGCCCGAGCCCGAGCCCGAGCCCGGGCCCATATAAAGAGCGAGGGCGAGTCGAGTTCGAATTCGAGAATTTACGAGCCAGAACTACAAAAATAAATAAATAAAAAAATTCTGTGAACCAATAGGAGGAAAAAAGCAAAGAGCGTGGCCAGAGCCAGAGCCACAGCCAACTTGTCAGCCGATCAGAGAGGTATACTCGTACGTATGCGAGTAGAGGTAGAGGTAGAGGTCGATGTTACCAAAAAAGGCACTCGTATTGGGAATCGGAGAGAAGCCATGTTGTAAATTTTCATGACTTTTAAGTATGCCTCTACTACCGACCTCTCACCCCTTACCCCTTACCCCTCACCAGCTATCCCGTCTCACACAGAGGACGCGTAAACAAATAAATTTCCAATTTGGCCAAAAAGTCATATATTTCGCTTTGAGGGATCGAACATCAGGAAAGAGGTTTGTTTTTGACATCCCGTCCATTCCTACGAAATTTACATAACACTTTTTATCCTTATCTGGGACCCACCTGACGGACAGCTGGACGGGATGGGACGGCACTTCCCGCTGTGGTGGCAAAATGGAATATGTTTTATAACATTTTCCTTTTTGTTTTGTGTATGCTGTGCTGTGCTGTTTCTGCCGCAATAAATAAATCCCAATACGAAATCGAAGCGTAACGTGACCACGTCAAATTGATTGCCACAACATTTGATTGACTTTGACATGTTGGCTGTCATAAATTCAGCTTCCCTTGACCATCTTTCCGCCAGTACCTGTACCTGTGCCTACCAAGGCGGCTTCTAAGTTCTCTTCTGCTATTCCCCGTTTGCCATAAAAGTGTGTAAACCATTTCTGGAAATTTATTTCAGCCATAGGGTGTGGCTGAGCTCGGAGGGCAACGCGTTAAAGGGTAATAAATGCGTATATAAATTTAAGAAATAAATTGAAATAAACCTTCAATTCAATGCATTTTGGAAAAAAGAGTACACCAGCAGAAATCTTATATTGAATACTTAAATACATTAGTATGTATATCCTAATGTTTCGGATCATAAAATTGTTTCTTTCATAGCTCTTCTACTTGAAAATTCCACAAAATCCTACAATCTGTTGTCATTTCCAACAGTCTCAACTATGCTTTAGTGGGTGCTATATGACGCATACACAATTCGTTATGATGTCGACAAAAAGTGAGAAGAGAAGAGAAAGAGAAGGCAGGCTGCTCCAAGCTCGTTTTTCCTTTTTGCCCATGGCTCAGAGGCAAATCCCGTTACAACATGGACACAGATGTTACCAAAAAATAATGACCATGAAAAGCATCCTTAATGATGCCAACTAATGTTGTTGTTGTTTCTGTTGCTGTTGCTGTTGGATGTCTGTTGTTTTTCCGAGGGCCAAGACACAGTGTGAGTCTGGCGCTGTCTCTGTCTCTTTCTCTGGCACAATGTCGTGTTCCTGGTGTTTCGGCTGCCTCTGCGGCATGTAGCACACGAGAAATATTAATTGTATTTTTATTTCGCATAATGTTACATATAATAATTACACGAATGTGCAAATGAAGTTGTAAATTATGCTGTGTCTGGTTTAATTGCACCTTTGGGCTGGCTGTTGTTCCCAGCGTTGATTTCTCTATGGCCATGAAGGCAATGTTATATGTATATATAAAACGGTTATAACGGCAAGGGATAGATAATTTCGTTGATATTTTGTATGGGGTGTACTGGTGTAAGAGGAGCATCCTGTCTATACGAACGGAATCTCAACCAACTCTGCCTACAAATCGGCTATTCGTATTTCCGAAAGCTGGCTGAAATCTTACATTAAGTGCCCACTTAGAAGCTTTGTTAATGATTCTAACTGCAAACAGCTACCAAAAATATGCTCCATCATCAAACAAATGTAGAAATTATTCCGATTCAGAGGCAGAACACGCCTCCACCACCACCACCACCGCCACCACTGCGGCAACAAAGGAGGCAAGTTGCAAAACGTGCCTGGGACTAGGCACTGGATGGGTGGTGTTTCCCTGTTTAAAACAGGCTCTCTGAACGGCGGGGTGTGAGTGGGGGAGAGTGAGAGGGAGATGAAGCAACATATGTTGCCACAGGGCGAGGCAAACGAGGCTGGCAAAATGAAGCGCAACCAAAGACGTTAGTCATGGTTTTGTGCATAGTTTTTGCAACCGCTGCTGTTGCTGCTGCTGCTGCTGCTGCTGCTGGGCAACATTCTGCCATTTGGCTGTCCAGGGCTTAATATTGTCTTAATTGAGGGTTAACCGGCGTTGATGATGCGACTTATGGGCTGTTGAGGCAGCGCTCGCAGGACTTAATGACTTTGACAATGTGACTCGCCTAATTACACATGCCGCAAGCGTTTGATTTAAACCTGGAATTTCCATAGCGGTTATAAAGTTTTACTTACATTTCCCTTTTATTTTCCGTTGCAGGTTTGGTTTCAGAATCGCCGCACCAAGTGGCGCAAGCGGCATGCGGCGGAAATGGCCACGGCCAAGAGGAAACAGGACGATATGGGTGGCGATAACGATGGAGACTGCAGCGAGACCATGGACAGCGACAACGAGAGTCTCGACATGGGGGAGACCCCGGCCCAGAGCAAGAGATGTCGCAGCAACAGCTCCTCGCAGCAGCAGCATCAGCAGGATAATTATCGTCATTAAAACGAATTTACAAATGGCAATGGAATGAAATTAAATGGAATGGAATATACAATACTTAAAATAAATTTCAAATGCCAGCTAATTAGCTAACAACCAAGCAAAAAGCAGCCACGAAAGCAGCAGCAGCCACTAGCGAACAAATTTCCACAATTGTTTGTCTTAAGTTTTAAGGTTTTGCCACTTTACCGTCTTCTGAAGACATTCACATCATTTTCCTCTCACTATATCTCACTAATTTCACCAATTTGTTTATTAGGTGTGTAAATATTTATGTTAATTTTATAAAAAATACTGAACAAGAAGCTTAATTAACGTCTCTTATTGGTAAGAATTGCTAAGCCAGAAGAGAACAACTCACAAAAAATTTAACTGAATTTATTACATATTGTATGTTTAGTTTCTAATCCATAAATTTAATGTATTGTAACCTCGTGCGTTAGAACAGACTTTAGTTCTTAAATATTAAATCTACAAGTATATATACACTATTAACGATTAACTATGCTAACTGAGATTGCGTAAACAATATTCATAATATTGACGATGATACTGCGGAAGCGGATGATGATGATTAATTATTCAAGTAAATTATATGTAAAATGTATTTAAATTAAATTGTAATTTTAATTATTTCAAATTGATAAAGAATAAATACAAAAGAAAAATATGAAAACCATTTGGAAAGTCTTTTCTTAAGGTAATATTTGCCATTAAATGCCCAACAAATTAGAAAAATGTAATTTAGAAAGTTATAACCAATCAGTAGGAAATAAAAATATGAATTTTTGTCTGTAGTCCTATCGGGAACAGTATTCAGTTCAATTCACTTCTTATTTCACATTTGTCTCGGGCTCTGAGATTCTCATTCTAACAACAACAGCATGTTAATGCACATAAAGACTTACAAACATATGGGCAGTTCATATCTGGCGTTACGTTACATTCGTACGACAAAATGTTGAAAAAAATAGTCAAAAAACTGAAATTTGGAAAAAAGATTATCCTCGTTGAATATAATTTGGTTAGACCTATATTCACCAGAAAAATGGCAATAATCGAGCGTACGGTTTTAAAGATATAAGCCAAAGTATGACTTAAAAGTGCGTTACATAAAACAGAAGTGGTTTTCGAGGTTGGGGTACAAAATGGCAAAATCTGCATATTTGATAGGAGATAATAGTAAAAGAAAACATGTCTATAAAAATACCAGAAAATACAAAACAACGTGAACTTTGGCTTATTTCATAGGTTTTAGGATGAAAGTTAATGAAATTATATGTGAATAAAGTAAATTAGTTACCTTTCAATAAATTTAAAAAAAAATATCCGGAAAAAATTATATAGAAATCGGTTTTTATTGACTTCTTATGATTTTTGGCCTGATGGACCTTTTGGCGGAACTGCCCATATGTACATACGAGTATAATATACAAAAGTCATAGAATTGGTTCAGCCAACAATCCGATCAGCCTACTACACCCACAAGAGCATTGAGAGAGCTCAGCAGCGACATTTAACAATTACAGACCGGAAATCTGCTTAGGACACTCCTCTCAGTGCAGTCAGTCAGACGACAATCCGTCAAGGGGACAGAGTCAAAAGGATTAACCTGAAACTATTTCTGGCCAACAAGGTGCAGACAAAAACAAAAAACGGAACAAACGATAGAATAAACGAAAGGAAAAGACGAAGAGGTGGAAAAACGTCACCGAAGAATGAGAATACGTGAATAGAAGCAAACTAAAACCTTAAGATTGATTAACTGTCAATCAAAGGAGAATATGTATGAGTAGAAAACATTGGACATGCTATGAATGGAATCGAAACAGGTTGCAGCAGGCTGTGTGGGGGACGGTAACAATAAATATCATTAAATTATGAATGCCCACCGAGCTGGATGGAAGGGGGCAAAAGAGCGAATGCAACAAGTTCAGATTGAAATGAATGGGAAGGATTTGGAGATGACAGCGTGAAGTCACGTCTAAGAAATTGAAGATCAAAGATGTTCGTGACTCACGAACAATAAAATATTTGTAGCACCAATTTGTGATTTTGAAGATCTGTAAAACTCCGTAGAATACACCATATATACATATATTTACATATATACATATATAAATATATTCCATAACGCAGCATATGACTAGGAAAATGTTTTGGATAAAATCAAAGGTCTTCCCCATCACTGACTCTCAATCTCCCATCCCAAATTACCGACTAGCTTCGAGTACTCCGCGATTCATTGAACCGAAGCTGGACTAATGACCGTGAGGCTGTTGCAACTACCGTGCTACCATTGTTGACTCGTATCTAATGGAGCACCCACATTAATCATTCTTTAACAGCGAATGCAATGGCAAACAATCGAGTTACTCTGGGGGGATCCGTCAATTCAAAATTCCATTAGCATACCGACGATAATTACCTAGAGGAACCATTAGCATCAGCTCAGCCAACAGCCAACAGCCCACAGCCCACAGCCAACAGCAAACAGCAGCCGTATTACGTGATATAAGAAACTCCAGATCAAAGACCACTGCTCCTACACTTCTTCTTTTGATTCGGCCAACTCATTGGACACATTGATCTGGGCACGTTTTCAACCGAATGGAGAGGAATCCAATGAACTTCCGCACAGTTCCGGAGATCTACGGCCTTTTCATCATTGTTTTAGTACGCGCCCAAAGTCAACTTCCAGCAATTGACGGCCGAGTGTGAATTGCCTTTGAATTTGCCATTTCGAATAGGGCCCGGGGGATTCGCCAGCTGCGCAGGCGTCCAAGGCGGCTCGGACGTGCTCGGTTCGGTTTCTTTCTTCTCTCTCTCTCTCTCTCTCTCTGCATCTCGATCTCTGTAGGATCGGTTTCAGGTAAATCCCGCTTAAGCCGCTTATTGACTCTCAGGTTAAAAGAATTTCATCAAAAAAAGCAAACACAATAAACTGTTCCTGTTTGCAATTTCTGTGTTCCGTTCGAACGTGTCCCTGGTGTATAATATGACTTAGGACCTTAGCTCTGCTAATCTGCTTGCTGAAATATTGCAGAACTGACTTCGTTTTGGGCTCGCCAATTCTGTTTGTTTGCCTTCTTCTCTGGCGTGTCAAATATAATTTGATTAATTGCTATATTGTGTGGAGAAGCCTGCTCCTCATTGCATAAGATTAAAGGTCTTTGAAATAATATACTTAAAAGGATTTCAGGTATTCTCATATGAAATTTATTAGTTTAGCTTGCTCATTTTGGTAGACTATTGTCTCACTATGATGTTCAACAAAGGTTTTTAGCTGTATTACATAAAAGTGACTGGAGTAGTGGCTCCAAAACGTACACTTTGCTCAGCGAACCTAGCAAAGTTTCCCAAAACTCCCAGCAAAAGTTTAACAATTTTCTTTAAGAAGGACTCCCTCGAAAATCGATAAATCGATCCCCTAAAAAGGAGCTGCTGGGAAAAGTACGAGTACAAGTTGAACCAAATCCGTGGCTGATGGGAGTGTCGCCCATAAATAGCACGATTCTCCTACTACTTCGACAACACCAGGCCGTGGGCCTCTCTGGCCAAAAATGTACTCCATAACAGTCAAGCGCAGTTTAGCCTGACAATGACAGGCCAGAGTTTGGAGTTGGCCATCAAATTGCTGCTGCTCCTCCGCCTCCTCTGCTTACCCGTTCGGATGACACCTCATGAATGTCCGTAGAGTGGAGAGAACAGCCAACCAAACATAGACACATTTGGTATGGCGTTCGGGGAGGCTACTAAATTGTCCCTCGACACAAATTCGAAATCGATAAATGATAAAAATCAACAGAAACTTCATGGATGCTCCCTTTCCCTCTCCATCTGTTTCTATCCGTCTCGCTGGCTCCTTCCCATTGCATCCCTCTCGCTTGCACGCTCACCGAAATGATGGCGTCGCTTCATGAAGCTTTTATTGTCTGTCTATTTCTAAGCTTTGTACATGGACTCCCCAATACGCACACACACACACACACACACACACACACATAAACACACACAGGGACAAACAGAAGGACACATTGCTATCCCGCTCATTGGATTAGACTCGTCCTCTCGCTCGCACTCACACTCACACTCGCACTACCACTGGAAGTGTTGTGCAGCAAATTTTCGAAAACTTACCAAATTGTTTTCGTAGCTGGGTGGATTCCGATGCTGATATACGAGTACGAGCCTGTCGTGTGTGGAGTTTGCTTTCGCCTCGTCCTGTCTATTTTTGGGGATGTCTCTCTATCTCTAGGACTTTCCCTGTGTTATACTGTGTGTGTAATATACGATGTCGTGCCTGCTTCTGTGTCTGTGCATCTGCATGTGTCCATGTGTGTGTCTGTGTGTGGGTGTTCCTTTGCCAGTGCTCGTGGGCAGACATCGACATTGATTATGCCGTGTTTTTCGCTTTGTTTTTGCGCTCTCCTTGTGTTCTGGCTGTTGTTGGGCTCTAACATCGAATTGAATTATGGCTTATGTTTATAGCAAAACAATGCGAGGGTATGCGTTTTTAATGATCATTGTAGGGGCAATCCATTTATATAAAAGTGGATAGCAACGATGAGGATGAGGAAGAGGAAGGGAGAGCGACGGATGCTCTAAGAAGTGGAATATGAACCGAGATATATTGTAGTGATGTTTGGGTAAACCCGGGCTCCCAGACCCCACCCAGACGGAAAACCTAAAACAAGCCTGCGTGGAAATGATCAGAAGTAAGATTATATGATTCGAAATACAACCAAGATTTGTTTAAGCTTATTTTAAATGTGGGTTACAAGAGTAGGCTTATAAATACATACGTAAGCATATACATACATACATATAGATACATATATATGTACATATTAATTATTAAACATGTTTTTTCTATATTATCCATATTTGCACATCTAAATGTAGCAAGCCAATCAAAATAATCAAATAATATTAAAATGAAATTTAATCATATAAAAAATATTCTTATACTTATACTTAGCTCTTCACATGCTTATTTCTCTCACATTTTGTTATTCTAAACCTCCTTACCGGAAAATGAAATCTTTAACTTTTTAATTAAAACCTGTGAGCCCTATCCAAGGCATGTTAATGAGCTCAACCCAAGAGTGGAACGGTACAGAAGCAGCCTATCAAACAAGCGCCAAACACGTCGCTGTATCGAAAGGAAGCGCAAAACAAAGTAAACCCCGAGAAGGTCAAAATATAATCGAGCTGGGGCCGGGAATGGGAATGAGCTCACCTTTAAGCCAGAAGACGTTGCTCTCAGCTTTGCAACAGAGCGGAAGAGCGAAGCCACGCCCACAACTGCGGTAGAGCAGAGCATGCGCAAGATGGCCAGAAACCTGAAAGAGAACCTGAAAGAGTCTGACAGAGAAAGAGAGTGGGCATGCGCATAAGAGAGAGTGAGTGAGAGAAGTAGATTGGAGTGGAGTGGAGTGGGGAGCGGATGTTTTAACGCGCTCGACATGAAAATGAGCATGAAACGTGCGACAAGCGATGGAGTCCATTTTGAGTTTATTGTTTGATGATTTGAACATTTTATATACATATGTATGTATGTATG